CAACTTTCAATTAGATCTTTACGTTATAATTTATTTACAATCAGTGAATAAACGGAACTAGCTGCTGTGCCCGTGCTTCGCAACGGGAAGATGTACCAATCGTCCATACTGCCTAATCCAAACACTTGTTGAGTAGATTGAATTTTTAAACAAATAGCCATCAAATTTTTACAAAAATGTATGCCCTACATTGTAATTACCCTACTGTTTACATTAAAATATATCAATAACATAATGTTCATATTATGGTTATAGATTTTTTCTTCATTTCAATAATCAATTGCATAAATAAGCCATAGTGGTGTAAATAACATAATGTTTACAATTAACATGCGTATTAAATAAGTTGTAATGTAATGTGCTGCTTGCGTATTAAATAAGTTAAAAATCCCTCACCTCAGAATTTTGAAAGCCCGTGGAGCAGATACTAGTTCAATATCGAAGGGGGGGGGGGTAGTTCTAATCCTCGGAGCGGTAGCTTGATTTTTGTCCATTTTGAGTCCAATCGGTTCAGTAGCTTATAGTTTATCTCATACAAACACACATACACCACCTCTTCTTTATAATAGTATAGATAGATTTATTAGATGATAGATGGATAGACAGATGTCATTATTATGTGATTATTGTTATTGTTTATATTTGATTTGTTTACAAGTTGTACACAGACACAGATTTTGTTTAGTTAGTAAAGATACTTTTGTTAAATATGAATAAATTATTTCATACAATTTTCAACAGTACATTAGTGGAATGCCCGAACCCATTGTACCAAGAGTACGGTATTAATGGTACTTTGATATTATCCGGAGGCCACCCTTATACGGCGTGCTGCGGCGGTTATCTTAGGTTGGGTTATCATAAATATGTTTGTAGGACTTTCTTAGTTTCGTTATGAATGGAATGATACCAGATGAGTGATACCATCGCCAAATCCCCTCCAAGTAGCCCAAGGTCAGGTCGTTTTTGACCAATGGCCGGAGTGCGTGCATCACCTGTATCTTAGGTATCGTCACTCATGGGGTATCGTTCGATTCATATCAAAACGAGGAAACCCAACCTAACATAACCGCCACAGCACGCAGTATACATACTCCGGCGGAGTTCATGTGGCAGCTAGGGGCGGTGACGCATTCAACTCAATCTTGCCTTCTGGGAAGCAGAACTCAAAAACCGCTAATTGCAATTGCAATCATGTCAAATTTGGACAGTAAGTAAAGTATGTTCTTTCTAATTATGTGGTTATTTTTGGCCTTAGGTAAAAAAATCCCTCTAGAAAACAAGTGGCCTCCAAATAGTACTAAAGTAACAGTACGGTATTTCCTGAAGCATGAAATGGAATTTCAAGCAGAACATGATAAATTCAATAGAAATCTTGGTTTAAGATATCTCCTAATGAGTTTTTTGGAATATATCTGTCTGGTATAAACTTCTCTGGGCAATACCCTTGACTCAGAGGTCAAAGTACGTTACCGGTTGGGTCGAGTCTAGTTCTGTATCCTTTCTCAAATTCTTCTAAATAGAAAAACAGGTGCGCGCTCCACACAAAGTACATTTTAGTCTGTTGTACAGTACTCTGTATCAACGATGTATATTTTGTTTTATGTTTTTGGTTGAATGTATTATTATTTTCACCACAATACGGTTTTAAGAGAAATTATAACCGAACAATACATTTTCATCATTTTTGTTTTGGCCATACACACGTGAATTACAATTAATTAATTAATGAAGTTGTTAGGTAACTTATTTTGTAATTCATTGTCATAATGCTGAAAAAGAAAAAAAGTATGGGTATTAGGTATCACCAACAAAAAATCCTAAAAAACCAATAACTTATTTTTCAAAATTATTAAAGTTTCATGTTTTTGTCTTCAATAAAAATATGCGAAAACATAACAAAATATTGTTATTTTAATTCTAGAATGACCCTCGTTAATTTGTAGTGAGTTAATCTTACAAATTTTTTTTAACAATAACCGTTGATTAAAAGGAAAAATTGTCTTGCGTGGATGCGCATGTACTTTATTTCTATGGCAGATCTTTTTAGGAAAACGATTCTAAAAGTAATGAATTCACAATAACTAATGTCTAGTTAACTTAACAGTTAACTAGATAACACATGTCCAGGTAAACTGCAAAAAGTTATGCATTTTATAATACACAGACAACAGCGGCTTTTGCCAACAAAGATGGCGGGTTGTCGTGTACGCCCCATGTTAACTCTCGTCAACCCGCCACCTCGCATGTAAGAGACAACGTGCCACCACGTCAACCCACCATCACTATTTTATGAGGTGGCGGGTTGTCGAGTACGCTCAATGTTCGGTATCGTCAACCCGCCACCTCGCACGTAGACGTCAACCAGCCACCACGTCAACCCGCCACCACACTAAAGAGGTGGCTGGTTGACGTGTATGAACACGTCTAAGCACCACCAGGACAACGTGCCACCTCGACAACCCGCCACCACACATTTTTCCGAGGTGGCGGGTTGTCGTGCCCGCTAGAGTCAACGTGCCACCCCGACAACGAGCCACCACGTCAACCCACCACCTCAAACTTCTTCTTCTTTTTGATGGCGGGTTGACTTGGTGGCGGGTTTACGTGGTGGCGCCTTGGCGCGTTCCCTGATTGACTATAGGTTTACTAATCGAAAAAAAATAGTTCTGTTCATAAAATTAAATATTTGTGCAACTAGTGAGCAAAGGGAGGAATTGACTCACTCGAGAGAAATACTTACTCACGAGCCGTAGGCGAGTGAGGAATGTTTTCTCGAGCGAGGCAATTGCACTCGGGTTGCACATTATATTTTTCCTACGGTTACCATAAAACAAATAAATTGGTAAAGAAACGTGACATATTTTTACACAGAAGTGAACTTTTAATATGACATTTATTGATACAACAGTACAACAGCTGACCAGCTGATTTACAGCCAACGTATTACGCGCGCATAAGACCTTGTCTGCATGTTACGCGCTCACTATTTCGTGCCTTCACGTTGCAAAATCTGGAGTGAGTGAGAAAAAGTAATTAGAGTGAGACAATGTTAACATTGTCTCACTGATGAGCGAATTGGCCACTTTGCTTTCTCAAATCAGTGAGAGAACATGTACATTGTTAGGTAACTGTAGGGAAAAAATTATAAATGCCTCAAATTGTATAATGTTTTAATTATAAAATTAAACTGTCATAACCTAACCAAACCAACCAAACTAACTGATAATGAAATACACCCGCCGCAGCAATCCTGCCGACTAAGCGAATTTCCATTTGTCTTAATTGATTTTCAATTAAATATATTTTAATAACATTAGGTTTAACGAGTACCTAGGTTTGCTGCTACAAGGAAACTAATAAAGTGGGTTTTTTTGTAAAATATTGATAGCTTAGTACAAAATAAATAAATTTGATCAAAATACAAAATATACCCTATCCATAAACAATCAAACTACAACATTTTACAATATTCCCCATAAGAATAGCATGGGAATTTTAAATTTACAATTTTTTTAATTTTCTCCGTTACTATTAACCGAACAAAAATACTTTTATAAACTAAATTAATCGTTTTTTTAAGCTCTTTAAAAAGGTCTAAAGAGAAATTGGGAAATTTTGTGTTTTAAGGGTCAAAAGTGAGAAAAACCAATTTTTACCCCATAAAACCCCCCGTAAAGCCCCGTTCCCATGGTCCGATCATGCTGGTTCGCGAACTCATTCAAGTTTATCCCGCTTTACACCTTTAAACCAAATTTCATCAAAATCGGACAAAAATTACTCAAGTTATCGCGTTCACGGACGTATATATATATATATAAGTCTATATATATATATATATATACATATATAAAAATTTGAACGAATGGTGTTTTTGGCCTCTGGGGACATCAAAATGAAAAAGTAAATCGGTCCCGGGTCTAGGTCTTACCGTGCCACCTACGGTAATAGCTACTTCCCTATAGGGAAATTCGCTATACTTCCCTATAGGGAAATTCGCTAAAAATCGAATGAATGTTTACTAATCGAAAAAATAGTTCTGTTCATAAAATAAAATTATTAATTAATGCCCCAAATTCAATTTACATTTTTTTTAAATTATAAAATTAAACTATCATAACCTTACCAAACTTGCTGATAATGAAAAAATCGAATGAAGGTTTAGTTAGAAAAATAGTTCTGTTCATAAAATAAAACTATAAATGGCTTAAAGTTAATTTTATAGTGTTTTAATTATAAAATTAAACTGTCATAACCTAACCATAATAACCAAAATTGCTGATAATGAAAACATTTTAGACAAAACTTTTGTGCTACAAGCGGGATTCGAATCCGACACCTTCAGATTATCAGCCCGGCATGCTCTCCACTGACTGGACCACCGAGGCCGATGTCGTCCCCATCGATGTATACAGAGGCCCGTTCACACGGGGCGAGTTTACAAGCTACACGCCAGCGTGTAAGAAGCCGGCGAGTCGGCGAGTGCGCTTGTAGTCGTTCACACGATGCTTTTTCCACTCGCTCAGTAGCTGGCTTGAACCAAATCCTCCAACATCTTTGAGTAACAAGCGCACACGCACAAGCAACTGTGTTCACACTGGGCTACTTTACACGCCTACTCGCGCAAAAGCTGGCGAGTTGGCGTGTAAAGTAGCGGCACCGTCAACTTTTTCCAGAGCTTTTTTACAAGCAGCTTTTGAGCGAGTACGTCGTTCACACTGAGCTATTTTACTAGCTGCGTGTAAAAAAGCCAGCGTGTAGCTTGTAAACTCGCCCCGTGTGAACGGGGCTTTATAACTCCCTCGATGGTCGTCCCATCGTATCGTTTCGGTAATGGTGTTCCCACAGCCAATCAGAAGCATCCAAATGACACTGTTGGCAAAACTACTCCTGAACCTGAAATAAAAATACAGCGTCCAGCACGTCCAGTCACTCGAGCTCGAGCGAGTGTTCCAGTTCCAGCACGTTCCAGTCAAAACTTAAATAAATAAAATAAAAGAGTTGTTTTGTTGATCACAGTATCTACAGACTATTTTCTTACTTTTCTTATTATTTAGTTCTAGCCTTTTGCAGTATTAATCAAATTGTTAGTTGTTTCCATTTCGATTCTCAAAGGTAAATTTACTTCTCTATTTTCTATTTTGTAATTTAATTTGAGAGACTATTCATTCCCACTATAGCTTATTTAAGACTAGGCTAGGTTATGTTCACAATTCAGTCATGGGCCCTAACAACAGTATTTTTATGTTTTGAGTCATAACTTTCCAGGGCTGCTCAAATGACAACTAAAAATCCCATTCCTGCGTAATATATTAGTGACTAAGAATCTCTAGTTTATAACTGCAAATGCTCAATAACTAGTGTTAAGCATAATTAGGCTCTAGCTAGAGTTGTTAAGACGTTCTTCAATTCAATTCATTTATTTCCACAGTAACACCATTTTTACAAGAGGTACAGTAAGTAGTAGCTATCAAACTCAAATTATAACAACAAATAAAGGCTATTCTGAATTTAATTTAGGCTTAAATTAAATTCTTATAGGCCTAAATTATATTATTTTAAAACCAGATTATGTACTTAAGCTATTTTATACAATTTGATAGGCCTAAATCTGAAGTTGTTTTTTGGGACTACTGGTTAATATTAAGAAATAAATTAAACTTTTTTGTCATTAAAACTTGGGTAATTGTTATGTAGCCTATGGCTACAACGGTTAAGTATGTAGGGGAGAGCGGGGCTATACCGTACACATAAGGGAGATTCGTAGTTACATCGCAAATTACGAAGTAAAAGTAATGTAAACACAAGCAATATATAATTTAATTATTTGGCTACTGATATTGTCAGTGGTGGCGATAAGAACCCGCGGGTCCCCCCCCGCAAGTTTGTTCGCCGGGCCCCCCTCTCCCAATGATCTTTAAAAACATTTTCCCGTATTACAGCCTAAACTTGCAATTTTGCAATAAACTTTACAAGGCATCTCCCGAGTCGTCATTATCGTCTTCCATGATCGCGGCAAAATCATAAATACTTCCCGTAGTCATAAGTCATTGAAGAAACATTATCATAGTTTACCGTGATTGCAAATGCAACCAAACCTATGACATCATTAGATAACAGCAGCATCATCGTCTCCCGCGTTCACGGCCCAATCTGATATCACGGCCTAATATCGCCGCGCGGCCCGTCGGTGGTGACAGGTAAATCATTTTTCCGTAATCGCGGCTAAATCCTAGATATATCTCTTGCAAATTAAAAAACGTCATTATTGGCTTCCGCAATCGCGGCAAAATATTGAACATCTGCGGCCGCGGAGACATCGTCATCGTCACCCACGGAGAAATGTTCTCGTCAATATCCGCGATCGTGGCAAAAGCGTAGGCCTAATCTTTCAATTCCGTGAGCGTGATCCAGACGGATATAAAAGCTTTTACTTTTAATTGTGCATTATTGTATTGAATAGCCTACTGAGAAATCGAGCTTGATTTTCTTACTCTGCTCGGCTCGAAAATCGACATTATAGGCCTATTATAAAAATCAACCGTTTCCAAAACAACCCGATTTTGAACCGATCTGATTTGGCATGAGGCCATTAGGTAAGTAACATTTTTTACCTGATCGATGTAAACACATCTAAAGTGCAAAGTATCAAATCTAAAGGGCAGCCACCTAATAGTAAGACATGAAATGAAATGAAAATCCTTCTTTAGCATCAATGAAATAATGGAATTATTTATTAGCTAGTCCCCTAGCCACCTAGGTTAATTTGCCGATTTGGTCGTAACAAAATTGTTAAGTTTATTTGGTCGAATCAGCATAGAGGATCCTCTATGGTGTCACCCGCTGGGGGCTAGGAGGATTAACATTATTAATGTTTTATCTTCCTAGGCCAGAGGCCACATTGGTTATAAATACGGCCCTATTATTATGCAACCAATTTTGACTGCGCCTTTACACAATCCATGAGGACAGTTAATGCAACCCGCATGACTGATGACAATTCTTTTACTTAGGTTGGTAGATAAATTTATATCGATCGGTCAAGTAATAGTGTTAGTTTAGCTGTTGTAAACTACTTGAACTATAGGTTTGAACAAATTTTTTACCATAAAAACGTATTTTGATTATCATATAAATATTGTTATGATAGGGGACCCGTGTGGAATTTATGCTAATAAATCAATAAAAAATCATAAAAAAAAAAAAAACAGGAATACAGCCTGTCACACTATCGCGGGCCCGTGTGCCGGTAAAATTTACCGAAAATCCCGGTCAAGGCTCACGGGCCCCCCTAGCTTGCGCCCCTTGCACCGCGGACATGTAAAAATTGGTAATTAAAAAAAGTTAACTTAGTCTCGGGGGGTGGGGCTATTCCGTACAGTAGAAGGGGCTATACCGTACAGTTCAAAAATCATTGTTTAGGTTAGTAATATAATAGTAGGCTACTGCAACAAATTAATGTACAAACACTTTTTATTACTATGTAAAGGATATAGTTAAGAAACAGTGTATTACAATTTAAACATTTGAGAAGAAATTACATTTCAAAAATCAACCTTCATGAAAAACATAAATATTATGAAAAAGTTATAAAATTTCATCCCAAAATTAAAAGAAAGAAGAAAAAGTCCACAAATGTAGTTCTCTGCAGACTCTGCAGCACTGCAAGCTGAATGGACCCACCCTGAACATGAGTAGCACACTGTACCAGAGCTGTAGGCCTACGGTTTAGCCCCAATCTGTACCTCGGGGGAATTTATAAACATAAACTCAAATTCTATCACTTAACCAATCATCGCTAATAACCAAAAGAGAGCTTAAGGAATGTAGTTTAGTATAATCTCACAGTTAATAGACTTGTAACGGTAAAAATATTACGAGATCAGAAAGCGAGCGTTCAGATGATTTCAAATGTCCCGCGCAAGGTCATTAGTTCTCCGAGCGGCCACGTACTGCGCTAGCGTCGCGACCCCTATAAAAGCCGCGCAGGACACAGGACAGTGGGACTTGAGTGCTGGGCGAATAGCTAGCAACATCTCCCTGGTAGGGCGAGGGCGGAATAGCCCGGTAATAACCAGTGGTGGAATAACCCTGGAAGCGTCGAATACTAGGGTTGTGCTGAGGGCGGAATAGCTCTCGGACCCGCGGATATAACGAGACGATAGGTCGAGGGTGGAATAGCCCGGTAAATAAGCCAGTGGTGAAATAACCCTGGTAGCGTCGAATACTAGGTGTTAGGCTGAGGGCAGAATAGCTCTCGGATCCGCGCATATACATCGCGAAACCGTAGGTCGAGGGCGGAATAGCCCGGTAATTAGCCAGTGGTGAAATAACTCTGGTGTCGTCGAATAGTAGGTGTTAGGCCAGGGCGAAATAGCTCGTGGACCCACGACAATCGAATCGGTTAATTGTAAGTATAATTGGTTTTAATTCCAAAAGTGAAACACGGTATATCCATTAAGTAGAGGTTTTATTTTATTTTCGAAGTTAAGATTTTAGTTAATTACGACCAGTGTTTCACTCACGGAATTAACACCTAATTATTAATTTGTTTAAATTAGGGCCTAACCCGGGCAGTGATGAATGTGTCATTTACTGAAAGCTGATGCTTTAACGACCATATCTGAGCCCATATTTTAAAACTTAATACTATTATTATTACTACTAATCCTGGACTAACTCAATTAGATTAGCTATCCGAGGCCGACAGTACAATTTTGTCCCAGGACGAAATTGCACCTTCACAGACTACGATACAAGCTACTTCACTAACTTTTTATTTAGTAGGCCTACTGGACGAAAATTGGAAGCAAGTGAGTAGAAACATGTTTTTTTACTGAAACATTGAAACTACCACACATAGCAAAACGATGCAGATACTGTAAACTTGCGCAATCTGCTGCTAGATAGCAGCACTTGTCGGGATCACCTAGCTTGAATTCTAGGCCAAAAAAATGGGTCGGTTAAGCCTTGCTGTAGGGTTTAGTTCCGCTCTCCCCTTATTTTTATACAGTAGACTCCCTCTTATCCGGACTCCTCGGGACCGAGGCCAGTCCGGATAACGGGTTTTCCAGTTAAGCTGACGTCCCCAAAAACTCGTTAAAACGGATCGTTTACAGTGATATTCCACTTAAATTTAGGATGAGCATTGTATTTATTTAGACATGTGATCACTGGTCTCAAATCTTTCCCACGAGAACAGTCGTTTCAGTACCGCCCACTTCCTGCCGATCTAGTCCGGTTAAACCGATGTGCTGATAAAAATTGTCCGGTTAAAGAGATGTCATTTCCGTCGAGTGTAGTCCGGTTAAACCAATGTCCAGTTAAAAGGTGTCCGGATAAGAGGCAGTCTACTGTATGTGCTCTTGCCAGTTTTTGGTACGCTGAAACCGAAACTGCACATAACAGTTTCAAGAACATTGATAAAAAACATAAAATGCAACAGGAGTGGAAGTTGTACAGAATAAAGGTTGGTATTTCCTGTTGAAACACAACACAGTAAAACACAGTAGGCCTATCAATGTTTTGAATCATAACAGTTTCCAAGGTCCGTGAAGTTGGCGTACCCATATTAGCGTATCCACTTTTGTTCATACCAATCGTTAGTTCATCGTTAATTCTCGATAGTTCCCAAATTTTTTCGTTAGTTCTCAAAAAATAAAAAAGTTATAGCCGATAATAAGTGGGTACGCTAACTTCACACTTCCGGTTTCTAGTGCACACCGTTTTCTGATAAGAAATGTTTACATCTATATATCAATCAACCTCAGTTTCCATACAACTTCGATTAATAAGAGGGCTTCTTGCTATTACTTCCACTTGTAGAGGTGTGGCAGTTGCACGGTTTTGAATTAACTTATATGGAGATTATTGTACTAAAACGTATATTTATAGAGGTATACTTTTACGAGGGAAAATACCATAAGACTTTGATTTATAAGGTGTTTCTCATGAACTATTCGAGTCGTAGAGGTAAAATTAACATTGCAAGTTGCAATGGATAGAGAACACGATTGTTAGTATTATTGTGATGGTTAATTAAATCAGATATAACTTTATATCTTCTTACTGATTTGACGTTGTTATAGAGAAACATGAAGTGCCAAGGTGAAGATGGATCTATAGGTTCCTGCCCAGGACCCAATTATCCGGAGGACTACTCAATTTGTTGCTGGAACAGTACTACACTGCTATGTTGTCCTCCTATTTCACACATTGACTTAACACATCAAAGGTAGGCACATTATAGTGTAAATGATAGAACCTGTCTCCTGATTCTCGTCGTGGCACTGCAGCTCGTGGTCACATATGGCCTTATCTACTGTGTGTATTCGGTTAAAGCTCCTAAGCCCAAGACAAAATTTGTTAAGTTTAGAGATTTTAAGAATATGAATGAGGCACAGTTTATCCTAGACGTACAGCAAATACAATGGCACACCATTGAACATCTCGCCTCTATTGATTTAATGGTTTGAATAATGGTTGTAAACTTAATATTACAATAATTGATCTCCTTGATAATCACAAAACGTTTAACAAAAATACAGCCTTTGCCATGGATGACATGTGAAATTCGTTCTTTGATGGCCAGACGCAACTGTCTTTATCAAAGAGCAAGACGTTCCCGAGATCAAATTGAATTGGATGAATATCGCTGTCTAAATAATAGAGTCAAACAAATGTTGAGAAACTCAAAATTAAGATACATTCACTAGCTTTTTGGGAAAAATCAGTCATCGAGAGTTTTATGGCTCAATATAACAATTCTTGGGCTTGGAAAGCACACTGATACACAACCAGTTAATATATCTCTTAACAAATTAAATAGGTAGCCTACCTTTTTTTCTTCATACTAGTCAAAATATCAACAAACAAAAAGTTAATAACTATGTTAATGAGTTGGTTAACTCATTGGAACAAGGATTGGAACACCCAATGTTTTAATTCAAACCTGTTATACAATCTGATGTTTTAAAGGCTATTCGTACCAATTCGTACTGGATTCGTACCAATGCTGTAGGATCTGATGGTATACCAATACAATTCATCAAAGATATGCTTTTTGCCATTCTTCCAACTATTACTTCTTAGTTAAGATAGGTTCCTATCATGTGACTCGATGCACATGGAAAATGGTGTTGGGAGTGGACAAAGTGTATTGTATTGAGGCCATAAGTTGTTTTGTCATTAAATCCAACTTTTTCATTCTGTAACAATTATTACAAACAACATAAGAATTAATCAATAATGAAAAAAATTAAAATACTGTGACGTAGATATGGCGTAAAGTGATACCTACCCTCACTTAAAGCTCTCCATTTGCACTACCACTAAGCGAGGAGTGGCAGAGATTTAAGCTAGTATGAGAAGTTCACCAACTGAAATTATGCTAAAACCATCAGTAAGTACAATTAAGTGCATTTGACTAAAGCCTGGCGCTTAAGCATCAAGCTCAATAATTTTAAAATTATATTTAAATTTTTTTAAACTGTGCTAGCGCTAGCAAAGTTGTTTAGAATGTTGAATATCTTTCCTTACACATTGTTCAATATACCAGTTACAATTTTTTTCAGGAATGTAATGATTGCTGGAATCATAGTGATCTCTGCCTGTATCCTCTTTAGCATATTAATTATCATCTGCTGCTTCTGGTCTCGATGTCCGCTCTTCAAGATGTGCAGAGTGAATTACACCCACAGTGAAATTTTAGCATACAGTGAGTAATCATACAAAAAATCCTAAACTCATTTGTAAATGGACCTATAAATAAGTTTTACCTAACCCGCCATGTTAAACTTCCCTATCCCAAGCGTGATGTATATAACTTCGTTACTTCTCGAGTGATGTAAAGTTGAAAAAAACTCACTCGGTGATGTAATTAAACCCATTTAAATAACATTGAGTGCTTAACTTAAAAAATATACCTCTATGGAGCCAATACCGTTCAACGCTAGAAATCAGCTGTGCGCTTGAATTTTATTGTTATGTTTTGAAGAATTTTCCTAACCTAGCTTTTGTTTGTAAATGGACGTTACTGTTAAAAGATGAGTGAAATGGATAATGAAAAATATTGTTCGTAACCTCCTGTATATTGTCGGGTCAGGTAAAATCTTGTACGTTACACGTTACGCAATAGCGTGTTTACATCACTTCGGTAAATTATGCAACTCGCTTGCGCTCGTTGCACAACATTCACCTGCGTGATGTAAAAACGCTCTTACTACACTTGTAAGGTAAATAGCTATTACAACAGTGTTAGTAAATTTAAAACTGTTTTATAGACCTAATTTTTACCACTATCAGTAAAACCTTAAAAAATGAAAGCAAACTGTGATTAAAGACACAATAATACTTCTGCTTGGATATTGAAAATAATTGTGGGCAATATTGCCAAGTAGCACCCAGAGGCAGTCTGCCTGGATTTACAATACTTGTTGAGATTGTTATCCTTCAATTGACTTTTCATTATACTGTACTATAAACTGTGTACCGATGTTTGTTTGCTTTATTTGTTAGTATCTTGGGGTCTCTGGATAGCTAAGGCTAAGGAGAAATCATTTATGTATTTAAGAGCATTCTTAGTTCACTTGTATTCATCCTATTCTCCAAAAATCTATTTGGAATATTTATAAAGCGAGATTTTAACTGGACCCAGATGTCATTTGCCATTGGGTTATAAATAATGATGGTGGTGATAGGTAACCCGTGATTTAGGCATTCAGGTACAAAACACATTAAATTGGGACCAATATATTGATTCTTTCTAACTTCTTTCATTACTTCCACCTTTGATTCATAAATTTTTATACACTCTATTGATAATTGATGGCCTATATGTGTTATGTTCATTCTTTGTAACTTTATCACAATAAATTAATATACTTTTCTTGTCAAGTCTAATGATTTATTTTCAAAAAATAATACACTATATTCAAACACATCCTTATGGATCAGCTGAAGGTTAGTTTTTTTTTTGTTTTTTTACAGTTAAGGTAGGGTATTTTATTTGCTTGCAGGATAATAAGTAAATACATTTTAAGTTTTAACTTTTTTGCATTTTTATTTATTACAGCTAAAGAAGAAGAAGCCCTGCAAATGCCAGATGAAGCTACAGATGGATGTAAACACTATTCTCCTTGTCATGTGATCATCAAGCCTGTGCAGGATATTTAGATCATATTTTTCAAGTTTTCTAGGTAAGAATTTTCTAGTTTTTGGATTCAAAGTCATAAAAAAATTCTTTTAATTTGTTTGCTGGCCATATACCTGTTGAAACAGGACTTGTATTTTTAGTTTTAGACTTTTAAACAATAGAACAACATTTCATTACTTTATATCGTTGTTTAGGAAGATTTCATTTATAGCCTAACTTTAAAAAAGGTCATAAGATAAATATATAAAGATATTGTCTTGTTCTGAAATTGATCATATTAGTTGTATTTTCTTAGAGGACAACAATTGCCATTTAATGGGTTTTAACACTGTAATAAATTGCTCAGTTTAGTTATTTAGTTGTAGAAATCAAAATTCTTTTCCTTTGGCAAAAGGATTGTGATAGTCATTTATTTACCCAAGTCATTGATATTATTTTATTTTGTGATTATTTATTTGATCTTGTATGTTGTGTCGTATCCCTCCTACCTCTTAATGAGTCATTTAGATTTCACAATAGCATGTAGCTTCGGAGTTAGTAACACATGTTTTATTTTTCTTACCTGTATGTTACAATGTATTTATTAGTGTTCCTGATTAATTTGTTTTTATTTACAAGTAATCCATTTATTCTTGGTTAGTTTCCTAGTGATCTCAAGTTTTTACGTTCCTTTTGTACAGCATAGGTTAAATATCGATTAAGTTATTCAGTTAAGTTATTACAAGCAACAGAGTGTCATATTATCAAGGCTTTAATGTAAACTTGTTTATGTGTGCACAATTTTTATTTTTTTACTGTTTTCGTACTTAGCAATCAATCACATTAGAAGATACAGTATTTTTATAAAAGTATTTTTGCGATGTCATTCATTAGCGTGTATTTTTATAGCTTTTGTAAATTAGTCTTGTAACAAACATAAACAGTTTGGATTGTATCTTTATTGGTTGATAAGAATCTTCTAGCTTTTGTATAAAAACAAAAACAAATGTAAGATAATTATGTTGGGTACCTTTAACAAAAATGTGTCAATATATTTCTCCCCATGTCATACATTTCTTTTGATTTTTTAAAAATTATTTTGTATTTATTTGTATCCTATTTATAATTATCTATGAAGTACATCCAAGAATAATTTACATCCACAGTTATCACCTAAGATTGGGAATACATGAGTTATTCAGCAGTTTTGATTCAAGTAGAACCTCTATTAACTTTCACTCGGCGAGTTTCTGAGCGTGGACTCAACCAGTCTCTGTACAGAGAGACAGATTCTATGCTCAACTCAAGACGCACGATGGGACTTTCTAGAGGAAAAACTGTGATCGCACCCACATAGGGCTGTCCACAGGGCGGTGTACTCTCGCCCTTACTATGGGAACCTTGTGTCGGACGGTCTTTCATGTGTATCCACCAGCCAAGACATGTTTGTCCAGGGCTACGCAGATGATGTAGTCCTCATGGTACAAGGAAAATTCACAAACATTGTAGCTAAATGTCATGAATGTCAACCTACATCATGTTGGCATGGTGTCTCAGAGAGGGACTCAATATTATTAATCCCTTATTAATCCCCCTATTATCGTAGTCCCTTTCACCTGAAAAAAGAACTTGACTTCTCTTTCCAGGCTGAAAATTGCTACTACTCAGCTTATTATTATTATTTTATTATTATTATTATTTCTTTGTCATGAGAGCCGAAGCCCCCTGACTGCGTACCCGGTACCTATCCTTGAGGACATACCCGGGCCCCATGATGTAGGCCGAAGCTTACGCATCAACCTTTAGCACATCATGGGCGGATGACTTAAGGTCATCAGGCTCGCCGGCTGCCGAAGCAGACCCTTCGGAAAGAAGGTTGCCCCTCAATCCTAACCAGGGATTCCGGCTGCTTGTTTAAGCGTCACTCCACCTGGGTTCCACCAGGTACAAGCCCTAGAGGACCATAATGGAGCGCCCCGACGCATTTAGTGCAAGCAACACTCGGGACCTATCTAATCCCTGACAGGCAGAACCCGCCATCATAGCCAGAAGGAAGGGGACCGTCAGCACGCTGACGGGGGGAACCCCAACCTCCCATTTACACCACTACCCGATCGAGGCCTTACCCATTGCTGGGAAACCAGAGATAACCAGAGCGATAGATCCCCAGATACCCCTGGCGGGCTCGGACCCAGCACCCGATCTACTTCGTTTGCCCGTCAGACCCAACATCACTGCCAGGCCATCAGGGTTTCCCAAAAGGAGGCAGGTATAGAAGTGGGACCCACCCGGATGAACCTATCCACCAGAGGTGGCGACACCCTTGACTCAATTGAGGTTCCGGGAAAAACCCCCCACACTCAAGATAACCATACCGTCCGTGCTCAGAGACAGGGATTGGTTTGCATAAGTGCCTACAAACCGTTACCCTCACACTGCGGAAAGTTACGTTGCCCTTGAGTGTCCCCGTGAGCTACGGGTACTTGCCCGTTTTCACCTCCAGGAAAGGCTACTTCCAAAGTCGAGGATTTGCCACACTGAATGCTGGTCGCACACAACAAGCAGGCCGAAGCCCAAAGAACCACAGACACAGGTAGGTTAGAGAATATGATGCACTTCCATCTCTCCTAGAGCTAAACACCCCTCCATCCTGGATAAAGGAATGTCACTGGGACCCAATGCCCAGTCGTCCATGTCTGTGGCCTACTTGAAAATGGCGATACCAACACCGAGCAGTTACCTCCCCTTTGGGGGCTAGGTTTTTTCACCTCCCAGGACGAGGCTACTTCCAAAGTCGAGGATATGCCTCACAAAATGTCAGTCGAACACAACAGGTAGGACAGTGTCACAACCACAGTTACAGGTAGATGAGGAGAGGCGGAATTAATGGCGTCACTGAGAGCTAAACACCCCCCCACCCTGAATGGAGGGAATGTCACTGGAGGCTCCCCCTAAGGGGCTGGCGCTTACCAGTCGTCCATAACTGTGGTCTACCTGAAGTGCCGGGTCTGACACCAGGCAGTTACCTCCCCTCTGGGAGAGCTAGGGTCCGCGTGGTCTACTACTCAGCTGGGAGTGTCGAGTTCAGTCAAGTATTTAGGACTGACACTTGTCCCCAAGCTGACGTGGAACCACCTGAATAACGCCCTGTAGAAGGCCAAATGGGTGCTCATGACGTCCAGAAGATTTTAGTCTAAAGCAGCCAGGTGATGAACTACACGCTAACATTGGCCAAAAGCTCTTGCACCTGATCAAGGACATGGGTATAGGCTTACCTAGTAAGTGGCAAGTGGGGCATACACAATAAGCTTCGGTTGAATACAACTGTAACTCTCGGGACCGAGGGCGTGTCGGTTAAGGGAATGGATGGATAATCGAAATCCCGTTAAAAAAATGTACAGTAAATAGATTTAAAATGTTATATATGTTTTCCGAAATTCCTCAACTGCTCTTGCATTTTCATATGAAATTGAACTTTCAATTAAGCTTCTTCTGTACTAACACTTTTTCTAACCATCGTCACTTTTCAGTTCATCTAAGGGATGTTATGGAGCGCTGTCCATAATCAGTTGTGCTTCCTGTGGCAACTTCAACTTGGCTAGATGAGCTCTAACTTGTGGTACAAACAGGCCCGTTTTTTACCCTGCCAGCGCCCTAGGCACCACTCATATTAGTGCCCCTTTGCAATATATATGACAGAGTATCCACCAACTGGGAAAACCGGGAACTATGCGGGAGTTTTTTGAACCAGGAACTTTACGTGAATTTTTTATTTCTACCATGAGTTTTCAATTTACCGTGATTGCACATGACAACAGTGACGTTGCCGTGACCGCGGGAAACAATACTATGTCTACACACGGTCACGAGGGATGATCAGAATTTTCCGTGATCGCAGAATACGATGATGATATCTACAGAGCCGCAAGGGATGATCAGAATATTGCTTTGATCATGGAAGACGATGATAATGTCCACAGGACCGTGGGAAACATCAAGAATTTTGCCGTGATCGCTGAAGACGACGATGATCTCCACACAACTGCGGAACATGATTAAAATTTTGCCCCAACCACGGGAGACGCTTACGGTGTCTTCACGACCGCGGGAGACGATTACAATGTCTTAACTACTGCGGAAGATGATTACGATGCCTACAGGACCGCGGGAGATAGAATAATGATATCTACACGGCCGCGAAGGATGATCAGAGTTTTGCCTCATTCACGGAAGAGAATGATCTCCACGTGTCCGTGGGAGATATTTTTTTGCCGCAATCGTGGGAGGCGATTGCTATGTCCAAACGACCGTGGGAGAAGATATAATGATGTCTTTACAGGTCGAGGGTTGGTACGAATTTTAATGCCATTGCGCAAGACGAGGGTAATGTCCTCACGACCACGAGAAAAGATCAAAGATTTGCCTCATTCGCGGTAGACGATGATAATCTCTAGATAATCGGGTGGACCGATGCTTCAAGGTGTAGAAATTGCTTTGGCAAACAAGTCAAACAAACAAACCCAACAAGCGAAAATCTCCTCATGACCGTGGCATATGTTCATTTATTGCCTCGATCATGGAAGACGATAATTATGTCTATACGACCCGACCGCCTAAAATAGACGATTACGATGTCTACACGGCCGCGAGCATGCAATTACAACCACCAATTTTTTTTATTTTCAAAATTTTTGGCACCCCCCAAAATAGCCTATTGCCTCGCGCCCTAGGCACGTGCCTATTCGGTAAATCGGCCCTGGGTATAGTTTTCGGTAACACTTTGTGAAACCATTCCGCAAAAATGGATTGGTCCATCCAAGTGTTTTTCATGGATAATAATTCACAGGTAGAGCATTCAAATTAAATTTTTGAATGCACGAGGTTCTTTTTTCTTTTCTAATCACTGCTAAGGGTAGCCTATGATTGCCAGTTGCATCCGCCCAGACCATTGCAATGATGCGATCTTTCTGGACTTTAAAGCCTGGCGCTGTCTTTTCCAAAAATGATGCCAGTGTCTTTTGCGGCAAAGCTTTCCAGTTGTGTCCAGTTTCGTCGCAGTCGTACACTTGTTCTCTTACAAGTTTAAGAGCAGTAATTTGTGTCTGAAACTCTCCTTTGAGGTCATCTATGACCGAGCTGTCCGAACTAAGTTTCTCGCCACTTATGTCCAGCTGTCGAATGCCGTTACAAAACTTAAAACTTATCAAGCAATTCCAAGGTATGTATCTCAGACAGTCACGTTCAATCACAATTGCGCATATACTTTCTGTCATGCTGTACGTGTCACTTACGACTAGTGATGTGTCAAAACCGAATCCCAAATCTCAAAACCATCAAAACTTAAAAAAAGTTCCGGTTTCGAGATTCGATCACCAAGTTTCGAGATTCAAAAGTTTCGAAATTGAAGATTTTGTCAGTTTTATTTTTGAAACTGCTGACATTTTTTGTGCCATTCCAAACAAGCTGGTAGCAACAGAGCAAACATTACCATTAACAGTAATGAAACAAGTACATTTTATCTTGAACTTCAAAAGGTATCTTAAATACTTTAACTGATACAATTCGGTTCACATCAATATTTACTAAACACAAAGAAATGTGGACCACTAAAAGTTCTAATTGATCTAATATTCATGTTTATGTTGGTGTTAGAAGTTTAATTTATTTGTTTTTGTTTATGAAAAATTATGTTGTATTGGGTTTTAAGATTATCAGTCACATTCACATATTTATGTTATGTCACGGTCAGGAGTCGATCTCTTTCAGTTTTGATTGCATACTTAATACTTTATGATTATGTGTATTTTTTGTAACCTTGACCTTTGTAACCAGCTAAGTAAAAAATTTTTGCGTTTAGGTTTTGAGATTCGAGATTCGGGATTCGATTTTTAAAGTTTCGGTTCCGGTTTTGAGATTCGAAATTTCTGGTTTTGACCGTCACTACTTACGACACATTAAGTACTCTAGTAGGGTGACGGATAACAGAGAGTGACGGTTGTTTGAGGTTCTACTGTATTAAAAAACTAGAATAGCAAACTGTGTAGTTATAGTAATAACGGGGATGTAAAATTTATTAGACAATAGCTGCAACCTCACAAGGCTTCAAAAATTGTGTGGTGAGTCGGTGGCTCAGTCGGTAGCGTCACGGACTTCGGGCCCAAGGCAGTAGTGTCGTGGGTTCGGATCCTGGTCACTGCCACTAACTTTTATCAGTACAGTTCACCTTTGTACTGTACCGGCTCACCCCTTGCTTTGCTGGATACGTTCCACGCACAGATCTGTAGTCTATGTGGATGGGCAAATGCAAGGTTAAAAGAGGCCGCTAACCTTTTAAAAAAAAAGAAAAAAGTTTAAAAACTTATTAGTACTCTACTCTAGCACAATTATTTATCTCCCTGAAATTTATAATGTTTTATATTAACCCAACCGAAACATACTTTAAAAGTGCAAAAAACATTCTATCGTTCATACTAATAACTTGAACCTATACCTCATAAGGTTGCTATGAGGTATAGGTACCTATTTATCTGTACCTTATACCTATACCCTTAATTGTACTTAAACCTTAAGTCTATACACCTTAAATCATTTTGGAAATGTGAATTTTTTAATGTAGTATCTGTTGGTGTAAATTATTATTTAAGTAATGAGCAAAAGAATGTATGATATACATGGACCATTTTATTCTTTTTAAGCACAAATATTAATTAACTGAGCTAATCAAATCTCTGTTAATTTCAACAATCCTACACATCGACAGCTGAACATGCATGCTAGATTTTTGTGGGATTTATTTACTAATGTTTGTAACACATTCCTCTATATACCTGTATGTATAGCTCAGTGTTTGCCAACAGTTGTTAGTGTAGCTCCATTTGGCATTGGTGTCTTCAACACCTGCAAAGTATGGGCTTTCTTTTAAGTGCATTGATGTTTAAAATTTCTATACATAATTTCATGTTATTTTTTCATGGATATGAAGAGCTAGGTGTAACTATTAAGGGAATACCTTGTAATTGATTCTGTTGTGTCATTTTTCTGTACAAGTGTAAGCCTAAGCATTGATTTAAGTTATTTATGCGTTAGGTATACATCTCAAACTTATTATAGAAATTGTGCCATGAACGTTTCCAAATTGTTTACCCAAAATTTACTATCAATGAAGTTTATGAACATTCATTTGCCTTTGGTAAAAAATCTTATTGGTCAAAGCAGATTTAGTTTCGCTATTGCCTTTACTTGGTTTTAGAGCATATTAAGTGCATTCCTGATGGATCTCATAGTTTTCAATATAAGTAGCAAATTTCTGTCTGTGTGGCATTTATGTAATGTAGTATTTTTGTTTCTTGCACAGTTCACTTTATGCAGTTTATGTAATATTGTTTATTAATAAAAAGCAAACAACTGAAACAAAAGTTTATTTTTCTTATTACTGGACCATTTCTTTTATTTTTCCATAGTTTCGCCCAACCCCGAACATAAGCACAGTACTTACCAGCCCCCAATAATGCACATACTAGGCCTAAGTCTGCAAAGCAGATATTTTTTTAGATTTTTTATTTGAGGTAATTTACTTTCTCCGACTATACATAATATATTGAGAAAGAATTGTTTTCGTCAAAATTTTAAAGAATGAGTTTTTGGTGGAAATAGTCCATACGTCGGGGAGTGAGCTGGTCTAGTGGTAGAGTATGGGACTTCGGAGCTCGAGGTCCCGGGTTTGAATCCTGCTAATCACTAATGGATTTTATTCATGTGATAAGGCCGCAACCCTCTAGGCCTCTAGGACTACTGTAGCCTGAAGCACAGAAAACATACTACTATAACCCAAAATGCCAACCGCATGGTAAAAAGCGTTAAGTACTCGGAGAGAGCTTTGCCTGTCAATTCGTAAGCAGTGCCACCAGCGTTGCTATGCACTGAGCAAACTCCCTCAAACTTCCTCTTTTATAAATATAGAAGATATAGATATAGATCTATATAGGTATATACATATATATAAATTTGAACCAATAGTGTTTTTAGCCTCTGGAGACATCAAAATGAAAAAGTAAATCGGTCCCAAGCCCAGTCTTACTGTGCCACTTATGGTAATAGCTACTTCATAGGGAAATTCCCTAAATCCATCAGGACCTGGATTTTTCTTTTTGTACTGGGATTGTAAGGCAAAAACCAATTCTTCAGATCAAAAAGAATCAACAGAGCCAATAAAAAAAATCTCTTGCTGTCTGGAATAAACAGTGGTAGTAATGGTTTATTTCAGAGTTGATTCTTTTGATTGTGACGCACAGTCCAATTGGAAACAAGACATCTTTTCTTAGGTAGACCAAGATTACCTTAAAAGTACACTACTGTATAAGCTTCCTCAAGAGAAATTTGACTTTCGGCCCATTCAAAAGTCGTTAAACCTTTTGTGTGTTATGAGAGATTGGATTTAACCTAGCCTGTGTTGTATAGTGTTTGAAAGACTAATTATTTATATGATTTATAGTAGATTAACTGTAGGGAAAAATAATGTGAAACTCGAGTGCAAAGTGCCTTTGCACACTAGTTACATAAATAACTATTTTACAACGAACCTTATCATAAAAGTTAAATACAAGAAAATGAAATCAACTTAATCTGGAGCATTGCTGCAACGGAGGGTTATTGATCTGTGTTTGCATTTTCCACAGATCCCATGTTAGAAAGTATTAATAGTATAAAACAAGAGAGGTACAACAAAGGCACTGAGTAAATAGTTTCTAGAATTAGAAAGAGGAGCATTTATTATCAAACAATAATTTTATAACAGTTTAAAGTTAAAACTATTTTATTGACTTAAGGAAAAAAATTAATACATTTACCCTAACCTCAAATCCTTGGTCTAAGAACACATAATGTTCAGTTTCAGTTGTAAAATATAATTTTGTGGGTTGTACAACCAAACACCTAAAACATTTAACATTCATAAACCAGTGCAAGAGAAATCCTGTGCATCAGACGTTGATAGTTACAAATGGTTTACAACAAAATTAAAAGTTGCACATTGTCATTTGTAAAGCAAATACTGTTTATAATTATTAAACAACATTCTCTTTAGATGTTCAAAAGTATGAATAACTGGAAAAGGCTAGCATTAAGAAGTATAACTGAATTTGCTTTCTTGTTCATTGAAATAATTTTATATATATACAAGGGTGTGATGGTATTGAATAATTCCAACAAACCGACTTGGAAATAATTACTTACCGATTAATTGTATCACTGAACTCAATATAAATTATAATTTTACTAAAATATAGGTTTACAAAAATTAAATGCAACCAAACTGCAAAGACATTGAGATCTACTACATACAACAATTAGTATTTATTACAGTATCACGGACATACAAAAGAATATTAAAGCTATATTTGACAAGCCTTCTCTTGGTAAGGAGGAGGATAAACGGTACCTCTACACGGAACTTAACTCGACCTTATCATAGTAATCAATCAATTATATATAGTAAGACCCGTAAGACCAGATTAAACCTACATAAAACTGCAAATATACTACAATAAGTATCCAACAATTATATTTCTATCATAGCCAATAACAAAGCACAGAACCACTATAATTATACACCTTATAATTACATACGATAACAACGTCAATAAGTGAATTTAACGTGTGGAATATACACAGTAAAGTCAAATTTTGAACTCACCTGCTTACTCATTAATCAATGGATAGTTTGGAGTGTTCCATTTTAACTGAAGTTGTCTAATAGACTATTATGATAACCAAGGGGGGGGGGGTCAGTATTTTAGTATTGAAAGGCTAATAGTAAACAATATTTGTTAATTGTGAGAAAAACAAATTTAACAGATTTCTTGTATTAATAAAATTAATGGATTTTATTATGTAATGCTAATTATTTTTCATATACCTTATATTTTAAATACTTTTAAACCCAGCTGGAAATAAAATGGTAAATGTGTTTTCTGTGAATAATTAGTTAATTTGTAAAAAAAAATGAGATATAGGGTGCTTTGTTCCCTAGTAAAACATTTAGCATGCTCTACGAATATTAATTAGTGATCGTCTAAGTAACAAAAGAATTTTGTTTTTTCAATTGTACCTATGAATGATGATATCTAGTACCCAGTAAACATTCACTAATAGGGTTTTAAAGTCTTCTGGATTAGATGAAATAGTATTCTATTCATAAGAAGAAAGACAGAGTTATTCCCATACTCTTATGACTGCACATAATTATCACATTCCGAGTGATAGGGTAGAGCAGGTTTAAAGAAAATATGAATGCTTCAAATTACCATTTACTGGGGTCATTGTCTGAAAGCACAGCCTGCAACAGCTAGGTAGCAGTTGTCAGAAGTAGTGGTAATCAACCTAATACGAGGCACGTCGATGTCAGAGACCAAATAATCAACCCACTTATCAAAATAAATACAACCAAAGAATCACATCACCGACAAAACCTTGGTACGATTTTAAAGAAATCTAGGCCTGCATAACGACAATTTAATCACATCGCGATGGCACAAATTTGAAATTGATTAGGGTTACATGTTACATTCCATGTAGCCAGTGACAATCGTGTGCTGCTAAGCAGCATGTAAACTGTGTAGCTTACAGTGATGACTGTATTCCTGACTAAGTTGGATAACATTTTTATAAACTGCTGTCTGGATTTAGCAAAGTACATAGTAATGAGTATTTACTGTATTAAAATAAAACCGTCATCATTTCTTTTCAGATTTTACATCTAGATATTATTCAAAATATAAGTTTAGTAAATTAATTCTTTAAATTTGTTCAATCTTAGAACTAATGCTTTGATGGATCACCTTTTAAATTATCTTATTTTTATTTATAAACCTCTAGTGTAACTTTCTAGTTCTTATTTTTATCTGGTTTTAACCTTCATAATCCTAACTAAGTGCAACCTAAATATAACAAATCCTAAGGGACCAAAGCAACAATTTGTTATGTATATTATTTTGTTCACAATGAGGTATGTTTGAGGTTTGGTGGTCTGAAAATCCACTTCATGAAGGTTCACAGAACAGCTGGGAAATTGAACACTGTTATCTGAATGTTGAATTTTCCTCAAGCAGTATTTTGTCCTGGCACTGCTTCAACCATTTTTAAATAAATACAAACTGATCTATTTTTTATGCACTTCTGCTCACACTTTTTTGCTCTTTCTGTTTCAAAATAGTGGCTGAAGTGCCAAGTGTTATTAATGTTTTTTGTTAGATTATTTTCAACAAACATGTAATCCTACGTAATTAATCATTTTGCATTTATACTCCACACTTACGGTACACCGCGACCTTTTGCTTTTGTCGCCCATTGTCACTAGCAAACTCCCACCGATTACGCAAGACAATAGTATCAGATTGCTAAATCACATACCAGATCACATAAGAAGCATGCAGGATGATAGAGGTTTCAAAGTGAAATTGAAAGAATTTTTTATAAAGATTCATTCGATGACTTTTTTAGCTTTAGAACGGATAATAGATCTTAAAATTCAGAAAACAGCAACCTGGAGTAGTGTGATAAATAATGTCCTAGCAATCATGTTGATTGTAGCCTACTTATTCATGTTTATTGTTTGACACTATTCATGTAAATTACAAATATGAATAAAGATCTTTTGATTTGAACTACATAAACAATACTGACCAATGCCAGAGCCCTATGATTAATAATCTTTAATGTTGAGACTTTGCTGTGCTTTACTCTTGTTATTTTGGGGTGCAGTTGTAGAAAAGTGTTCATACAGAGCAAATTTGCTATGTAGAGGTTCTAGCCAGCAGAAATTCACTAAATGGAGGCTTATTGATTTTTGCTGGGATTTTGCAAAATGTATTACCGTACTTCGAGTTTGTGAGTTCAGTTGATTCAGAAGGATATACAGAGATAAACCTTGCATTGAATCTTATGGGGCTAGGGGACTTAAACACATTTGTTATATTGAAGTTGCACCGTATTATGATTTGTTTGTGCTTACACTTCTGATGAATTGAAGTTGACTCAGAATTATAAAATGAAGATGATGTGCAATCATTTACTTAGCGTAATCTTTACATTGAAACTGATCCTGATACGCAACACCCCATGTCGCAAAGATGAATAGGTCTGAACATTGAGAGGGTAAATGTACTTTGTAGTTGACATAGTTTATTTCTATAATAATCCTACAGCATTTACAGAATTTTAAACAGCACAGGGGGGGAAAAACTTGTAGCTGTACCAAATACTCCAATTTAAATCAATCTAAAGGTATAAGTTGAAATAAATTTTCAAGTAAAGATTTTTTTTAATTCAAGGAATGTAAAATATAAAAAATTGTATTAGTGTCATTGTCATACAACAACATAAAAACAGTTTTATTTGTAACCATCATATTTTAATTAAGGACATTTTTGCTGTAAGATTTGACTCCATTCAATGTATTCATGTAAATAAAAAAAATGAATAAAGATGATTTGAATTAATTAATGTTTATACCGGTTTTGAATTATAAATAACTACACTTAAACAAATAAGAATGGAATGAAAGAAAAAAAACCATGCTACAAAATAAGCTATATTTGACAAAATCATAACAGGAAAATTATAATATCCATCATAATTGTACTTTTGTCCACAACTATACTCATAATAATAAGCTAATTGTTCTTGAGCATTGTCCTGCAATTGTAACTCGGAAAAAAATAACAACAAAGAATTTGACAAGTTTTGGTCAAGTAAGAAATAAAATAAGCACACATTTGTAACTTTATTCTTTGTGATTTAAAAGTTAATAATGAATGAATTGAAATAGGACTTAATAGTCCAATGGAACTTCAACAATTAGCCAACAATTAGGGTTATGTTGATCTAACATAATTGTTAGAACTGCTTTTGTTTGTCCTTTAAATTTGAAAACCTTGGTTATGTACTTTTAAAAATAATAAACATTATTAAAGGCACCACACCATTATTGGAAAAATGAAAATATATAATACGCATTTTTATAATATAAAGGTTTACGATTTTTCATAATGTGAAAACCAAATTAATACGACAAAGTATAGTGGTAGTGTAAAATCTGTGTTATGTGCTCTATTTATAAAACCAAGAAAGATCAAAAATTGATAAACGCATCACTTAAAATGTAAAATAACGAATTTAAGGAAGCATAAAAAAAACATAATGCTATTTACTGGAATGTTCAACTTGTGTTTAATTGTTTTTACAAAATAAAATGGAAGTCTTTATCATCATATATTTCTGCTGATTACAGATGCGGCTACACTGGATATCTATCAAGAAGAATTTTTAATAGAGAAATAACTTCATGTAGCCAAACCTCTAACATCAAGAGTTTACACACAACTCTATAAATCATAACAAAAACCATAATAAGACAAATAACTATAACACAAACAATACAAGTGTATTTTGAATTCTTAATGAAACAAATAATTGCTTAATAACCGCACCTAAAATGGCTTATTTTAATATAAAAAATAACAGTAAATCGAACAGGTATCAAACAGTGTGATTGCTATAACATAATATGGTGGCACTTTGGACTTGGAAGTTACTAATAAAATTTTATAATACAAAAAATACATACACCATGTGACCAGCACACCCAATTATTTTATTTATGCTTCAAGCACAATTCAGTATACACTGTCACAGTACTGCTGAACAAGGAGTGTTTTATAAAATTGTAATCAACAATATTCATGTTGCCAAAGCTATTTTTTACAGTTAAGTTCATTAGATGAACAATCCCATTCAAACATTGATACAACATTAAATCAAGACGTCAATGTGTCAAAAAAGTTACCACTATTGAGTATAAGTCAACAACAGTTACTAATAATAAAGGAAAGAACCAAATTTGGTTGGAAAAGTAATAGAAGACAGGAATAGTCACAAGATTTGTACACATAATTGTAACATATTTATCAAATAATCATACTACAATGGTAGTTACCTATTTTCTATGCCTTACATTTTGAAATTTTATCACCATCATGTTTTTAAACTGTATATTAAAGGCTAGGAGCCTACCAAAATAAATAGTAGAAAAAATAACAATAAAAAAGTATAAGATCTACACATTTATCTGGCCCCAAGAGCAGCAATAAGATACACTATTACTGTACATATAATATATTTACACATGATACATATCAGCCAGATATTTACAAAACATTACATTGAATGTACAGTAATATTTACATTGCAAAAACACCCGCGGTTTTATATTAATAAGATTGGAGGCGATGCAATTTTAAAGTTCATCAAATGAACATTATTTTGGTACAACGATATTTTGTGTATGATAAAGCAAAGTTTGATGGTATCTTCTAATTATTTATGTGTCTGTCTTGTCAATAAAAATGGTAATATCTCCAAAAACAGATAAAACCAGGCTTAACTTTGCAATAGTATCAAAGGAATAGTTTGGCGTAAAAAATTATGTATGCGATTGATAAATACTAGAGCAGTATACTTGATATCTTATTACAGTTCAATTCTAGTGAAAACAAAGTAGTTGCGCTTTCAGTGTCACAGCAATTGTTTTTTTTTTATACACATTATGTAGACAAATTCTCTAGATTACTACAAAATAATCCAGAAAATGATAAAATAGGTTTAATTACACATTTTAGTGACAACATAGGAAAACAATTGTGTTATAATAAATTAAAATAATATCAAGCCAAATTGGTGCAGAATTTTAAGAAAGGGTCCAATCTTATTAATGTAAACCAAGCATATTATAAAAACCATAACTATGTACATTGGATAGTTTATTCTCACTTGACTCTAAGGTAACAATCAGTTTGACATGCTGATTTCAATAGATTGTGAAGAGCAGAAGAGCAGTGACAACTAGTAAAAACATTTAACACCACATGTAAAGCCTGTGGTTTGAATTGAGTTCACTGTCAGACAACCACATTACTAATTTTAAAAGGGGAAAGTAGCGACTAAATTTACATAGTCACAGTAGAAATATTTTTTGTTCATAGGTCCTTAAACTAGTTATGAAACTAACATCCAACCCATACTGGTACTGTCGGCTGAGAAACTATAGACAGGCAACTGGGCACAGCCCAGAGCAGAGAAACACTATTATTGAACAAACGCTTTTGAAGCTTATCAATAAAATTCAAATATATATGTTTCTCAAATGAAATTACAGATCATATCGTCATAGTGAAAGCTTTTGCACCCGTTAAGTTTGTGTTTGTATCCACATTAAAACTTAAAGAGAGGTCTTCTCCAAGTATAATGTAGCTAATAAGGGAGTAACATTTTCTTCATATCATTGTTAAATTAACCATAAAATGTTAATGTCGAATTTATAAAAAGGTTTTTATTATTTGAAAAACAATCATGCCAGAAAAGATAGCGAATTAAGAATTATAATTAAATGAAAGTGGAATGGTTCATCACACAAGTATTTTCCACCAGAAAAATACATGTAATAACAAGCTTTGCTAACATTTTTTCAATTATCCGATATAAATTAAAGCTTAAGTTTGTACGTAAATCTCAGAGTTGAACACTTACTAGACAGTCAATTCAGGGTTATAAGCCGTTCAGCGAATGGCAACACGAACGAGGTTACATCGTCTGGGGTTAATATGACTAGCTCACTTAACAATCTACTCCAATATGACTAGAATATTATCTTACAACACCTGTCAGTGAACATTTATGTCTGATTGGTATTGAACTGAAACATAACGTTTGATTTGAAGGGTTTTGGAGGTAGTTTAGGAGTAGAAGACTCCGGTCGGAGAGCTGGAGGGCCAGTCAGTCTGGCTGTGAGATTGGTACCAGCTGGTAAAGTGTTGTGGCGAGCCATTGCCACCGGAGCACTGTTGGACGCTTGATGAGAAACCACTACAACAAATATGACCAACAATAACTACAAACTGACAGTGGAACATTATTTTCCATTGGCGATTACTGTGAAAGTGCCTAAATTTCAACAACAACCGAGATATGCTGTTTTTACTTAATAGAAAAAATATCAAGCAAGGCAGAGTAAAAGACTTGACAATTTCAAGGCTGTGTAAAAGAGGAATGGTAAAATACAGAGTTTGTAGCACAAGTTTTAAGTTTAGTCAGCTATACTTCTATCTGATTAATGTTATCAATAAATGAGGAAAAAGTTTAACTTGGCACATAAGTACCCATTTTAATCAATGATAAAAAAGAAGGGCATTTCTTTTTTTAGCAAACAATTTTCGTACGGATAGCAAATAAACTTTTATAGGAATCTAGATTCATCTGTTCCCACCCTTATCGCAGCAAGAAAATTGAATCGTGTCATAGAAGGTTTTTGTTCAAGGAAATTGTTGAGCGTGATTTTGCAGTTGTTTAAGTAACTTCATGTAAATTACATGTGTGTGTATTTATGAAATAAATCAATAAAACATCTATTACTACAGTGTTTTACATGTTTAGGTGGCAGCATGTTTTAAACAACCTTGTCCTGTTCCAAGAGAGAATGTTTAGCTTACCAGGGGGTTGGTGGGAGGAGACAGAAGAGTGGCGTGTGTAGGTGGTGGGTGGAGTGAGACCGAGAGAAGGGTGTTCAACTGTAGAACTACGACGTACAGGAGGTCTTGGAGGCAATGGTGGTGGTGACAAGTCTCTTGGTGGCAACCTGGGAGCAACTCCACCCTGGAAATACCAACTTGGTTAAATACATGTAGCGTAAAAACAAGAGAGCTTGCTATCATCCTAAACCATACTGAGAAACTATTGATTCCCTGATTAAAGAAAATACTAAATAGTAGATTTTTTAACACTTTTACCTAAACTTCGGTCTGACAGGCCTAAGGGAATTTTCACAAACGCATGTTGGCAACACTGTTTACTTGGGGTATTCCATTCCCCCAATACCTTCCCCCCTTTTCCTCCCCTACCTGTTGATATACTGTTTGTTCATTTTGCGTGGGTGCCGTGACGTAGACAGGTTGTCTGTTCATAGCATGCCCGTCTCAGAAACCCAGCGTTAGTGTATTTTAAAGCGGGGTCTCACAGGCCCAGGGTTTCGGTTTGTGTATTTCTAAGCGGGGTCCATTATTTTCAAATGGGTCTCACAGGCCCAGGGTTTCGGTTTGTGTATTTCTAAGCGGGGTCCATTATTTTCAAATGGGTCTCACAGACCGGGGTTTCAGTTAGCGCCTGCCTGGGTAGGGTTTCAATATTAGTGTTAAAGAATTAAAAAAATTGTATCTTACTGTTGTCAAGTAATTTTAGAATCAACCCTTTTCGCTGGGACACATCATTTTAGATATAGCAAAAACCATTACATAAGCCCCAGACCATCACATTTCCCCAACAAAATCAAAAGTTAACTAATTCAAAAAACTAAAAATTTTGAAAAGTGTAAATGTTATGCAGTTTTTTGGATAACATTTTTGCCTACACTATATTTGCTTTAGAGTAACCCAGCAAAAATTACTTAGGCCTATATGTTATTATATTTAATAATTAAAAGACTCAACAGGCTCTACAAAAAAATCAACCTTCAGTTACTTGTAAAATAAACTTAGAAAACTGAGTATAAATTGCCCTTAACTGGGAGTGTCCAACTATTTGATCAGTGGGACGGGAACGGCGTTCCCACTCTACGACGACAAATCCTTATGAATAAACCACCTGTTTTATTTTTGAATCATAACTCAGAAATGGCTGAATGGGTAACTTAAATAGCATTAAAAAAGGTATATGTGATATAATCGAGAGTGTGGACCCTGTTGTCTCGGTGACATAATAAACATCTTTAATGGTCGTAGAAACACCATTACTGCGATCGTGGTGAAATGATGAACATCTCCCGTGGATGCAGGGAATTAGTGAATGTCTCCTGCAGATGCGCCGAAAGCCATATCCTACGATCACGGTTAAATTATAAACATCAATCATAATTAACCTAACTAACCATCAACAAGTTGTTATAGTTCGGCCGCTTAGAAAGCGACCTCCTCCAGCATTGGTTTAGCATTAGCGCGCAGGTCGTTTTCTAAGCGGCCGAACTATAGTTAATTCTCAGACAATGGTGAGTATTTCCACCCTACAAAATTTACAACTGCATCACTGATTTGGAGGTGGGAAAGTGAACTCAACAGTGTTGACAGATGTAACTAAGTACCGGTAATGAAAATATGATAAGTGACCTCTACATAGCTTCAAATGTTAAAAATGTGTTAAAATTAGCTTAAAAAGTGCAATGGACAAAGGTTAAAACAATTTTGTTGTTGTTGTTTAGTATCAACAATTGAACAATTAAAACTTAATTGTGATACCTTTGCCTAACTTAACATGGACTAAATATTTGTCAAAGTAACCTCCGTTTTGAAATGCAAATTAAACCAGTTGAGATACAAAAGTTGTATTTCATAGATTTTACAACTCCAGCTTTTCTCTACTTTTCTACATATTCATCAATAGTCAACACAAGGATCGTGTGAAGATAGTTTTTATGACACAGCTAGAACGAGCCTTGGCGAGTGCCTTAAAAACTTCTACGAGTGTCGTATAGGCTAATTCACGAGTTGCTTATACTACTTTACATACAATCGTTTGTTAATTACGTTTGTAAAACTTTATAACCCATACTCTTTCTGTTAAATTTTTCATGGAACAGGTACTGTTAGCAGCAGACTTCTTACCTTAAGTACTGTTTAGGTACAAGACAAGTAGACAAATATTACATATTATTTAAACAAAACTGAATGTATTAAAACAGTTTACTAACTACATTTAAATCAAAACAAACAAAATTAAAGTATCTCTTAACACGTTCGCTACTGCAATAGTACGAAATTTTCCATTCACATGGACCAGCGACGCACATATGCGACGGCCGGTTTCCACCCATAGACTGCCACATTAAAATAGACTGCCGACACATATTTGCGTCGAGGTTCTAATGTTATTAAAATGCTTATATCTTTGTAGTGGTCTATTTGAAGGCACTGAATTCCCTGCTGTGGTCTACAGAGATGTCTGACGCACAACTGCGTCGCTTGGTCTGTGGATATGATGATACTGACGTCATATAATAGTTGGAAAAACTGGTCTTTACTTTTCTGCATCACTGTATGTATGTATGCTGCATTATCCTATGTAGCTTTTATATTTGTTCAGTTATAAACTGTTCTTGAATAATCTGTTTATTTTTTTACTTACTTTCACCCTAAAACACAAAAAAATTAACTGTCGCATATATGCGACGTTTAGTCTATTTCAAGAAAACTATGATAATTTTCACTATTGTCTTCCCTGTAGACCGGGCGTCGCAAATATGCGACATCACAAAAGGTTATAAAAAATACAAAAAAAACAAGAATTATTTATTTACAAACATGATTATAGCGTATTACAATGTAAATGATCACTGTTTTACAGGTTTTCGCCCGTGGTCTGTGTGTACTGCTATCCAAGTGACAGCCGGTCTATGTGTAAGATTCAAATGTATACCTCGGTCTGTGGCAATGACCACGGCGTCGCATAGTAGCGAACGTGTTAAATTATTATTATTATTATTATTATCATCAGTGAACAAAATTTTGCGCACATATTATTTTCTCATAATGTTTCTTTGATTTAGGTGGTAAAAAGATTATTTCAAACTGTTTAGCCCTTAATTATGTAGTCAATTTCACTAGAACTATCTGACATTTTTTAAGTTTTTCAAAAAAACTTCCTGTAACTGTTGGTTACCAAATCATTTAGTTCAGTTTTTAGGTTAAGGAAAGAATGTGTGAGTTACCAGCTAAAGTCGGCAGATCAACAATTGAATTGGTTTGGTTGGTTATCAGCTGATAAGTTGGCGTTCAAAGCATTACAATTTTAATCTTTTCTCTCAATACTTGAACCTCATTATCCATATTGATCTATAGAAATTAGTTACGATCGACTGTCACAACTTTACCACACTAGTGCTGTAAAGTAAGTAACATTGCGGTAAAATAAGTAAACTATGCAGTAAAGTGAATCTTTTCAATCCTAAAAAAGTCCGGGGGGGGGGGGGGGCGGTGGGCGGTCAAAAACGTCCCATTTGAACTTTTCCATAAGTTCAGTTGTTCTTTGTGCTCTGAGGGCGAGCGTTATCATGGAAAACACAATGCCAGATGTTAGAAGACCATGACGGTTTTTTTAATAGCTTGTTGTAGCCGTTTCAAGGTTTCACAATAAACTGCAGATGTAATAGTTGTACCACGCTCCATAAATTCAATGAGTAATTTAATGTGTGCCCTTAGCATCCCAAAAAAACTGTAGCCATAAATGTTCTCACTGAAAAAGTTAAACAAACTTTCTTTGGCTTGCTAAGTGAAGCGGTATGACCCAATTGCATTGACTGTTGTTATGATTCAGCATTCACAAAGGGTACCCAAGTCTCATCTCCGGTACCGATCCTATTAAAATGTTTCTCCTTCCACGTTACCTATACCGAGTAAGAAAGTCTATGGCACAACTCATTCTTTAAATTTTGCGATCGCTGGTGAGCACTTTTTAACTTGTGATAGCCAAATTTATCTGTCACCATCTCACGCACAAGACTTTGAGAAATTTCTAGGAAATGATCGGAAAGTTCCAAATTGTGAAGCGCCGGTCCTCACAAAGTTATCTCGTTCACATCGTCTGTTCGCCAAGTCATCACTGACGAAAAATGGCCAACCACTCCGGTCTTCATCATGAACATTCGTTCTTACATAAAAAAAAACTAACCCATTGACGGACTACACCTTTGCTCATAATGATTGGGCCATAAACCGCACACAATTCACGATGAATTTCAGCTGCTGTGTAATTTTTTGACCACAGAAACCTAATTACATCATGCACTTCACACTTGGCAGGATTTTCTATGGCGGCGCTCATGTTTTTAGGTTATTACACAAGTATATAACAAACGAACGTGCAATCGTATGATGCTCTCTCTAGCACAGCAAGAAGCGTACTGAACGGCTGTGCACGCCAATGTGAGGATGGCAGCACTCCCCACTTTTTACCACGCCACGCCGGTTACTTCAAGGATGACCCTCGTATGTGTAAAAATGTGTTCATATTAAACCCAATTAGAGTTAAAACTTGACTAAACATGTTGAAAGTTAATGTATGAGAGTGCTCACCACAGGTGGTTGTTGTATGAGAGGAGAATTGTCAGATATAGAACTCTCTCGTCTTCGTGAACGTGGGGGTAGTGGTGGAGGGGGCATGGGTGACGGTGAGGGAGTCGGAGGCAAGGAGGGGCCGGGACTTATAGACACAGGCGCCACCGACACAGCTCCTGGCGACTGGTTCCCACTGCAACTGCCACCTGCAACACAGTTAACTTGATTAAAACATGAACATTCTTAAGATATTCTGATCATAAGACAAGATTTTTTTCACGCCAACATTTTTTTGGGGCGGGATTTTCTTCAAGGATGCAACATATCCTTAGGTCAAGGGTAAGAAAGGGCCATGTGGCACTAACTTTGCCTGAAAAATTCATTTCCTATCAAAGGACATGCAAAGAACATCACTTCATCTATATGCAAATTAAAACAAATAAATAGCTAAATATTTAGCATGAACTTGATGAAAATATCTTTTTTATCCTTTAATCTAAGAGACTAAGAGCTATATTGGATTTTACGATGTGAAGTCTTATCTGCCATCTACTGCCGTGTACAATTATAACTGTGCAGCAGTAGCACTAGCAGGTGACAGCCACCTTCTGCCAGATCTTTTTTGCTAACTTAAAACACAGAGATACAGACAGTAGTATGGGATCTGTGGTGCACCGGAAAAGTCAATAGAGTACGGTTATGACCTAATTACTGCCATCGGTCTGGTACAGCATTTACTCAGTAGGAATTTGGTTTGTTACAGCCTTCAATGTCTCATTTGTTATAATCCCATCTGTTATTTCTATTTACATGAAATAATAAATTATTGAGTTCAGATATAACCTTTTTGTCTACACTACTTTTAATAACAGGGTATGAGTTTATAGTCGGGACAGTATTATTGTAGAAATTAGAAATTGTACCTTTTAAATTAATATTATTATTCATTTTGAGGTTTTAATAATCTTGTCTTGAAAAAGTCTTGGAGCAAAGTCAATCTCACTCAAACTAACAAGATTTGTTTAATCTCGTAAATTTCTCGAAAATTCAAGACCCATCTCACCTGGTACCGATTTAGTTCCGAAAACCACGTCACAAAATACTGTACCATACAGACCTTAAATTTTTTTGTATCAAGGACCCGTTCTAAACCCATTAACCCATTGGTTTCTGCAAACCATTCAGTTTGACAATGAGTAAATCTTGTCACCTACTTTGTGTGGAAGAGCCGATGTGAATTTGTGCAAAGACACTGTAGTCAGCCAACGGTGGTGGTGGCGTGTGGGGCGGAGCTGTGAGAGGAGTACGAGGAGTCTCATCCCCTCCACCATCAGAAGGCCGAGGTGATGAGGTGGGAGGTACCAAGTGAGGAGTCACATTCGTCGTCAGAGGTTGAGGCAATTGACTCCTACTGGCCAAGTTGCGGGTTTTTATCCCAGGAGATTTCAGATTCAAATCTGGCCATTTTCGAGGCTATAACAAAAATGAAGGAATTCAAATCTATAAAATAGCTGGGTAGCTGAGTAAACAAGTAAGCTAATATAGTTGTTAGCATTATTGTAATTAATATTCTGAGCCAATAATCTCTAATTAACGATAACTGATTTACAAACTCGTTCACAAAACCTGTTGTTGGCTAGGTCATCTGGACATATTTAAGGTGTAACTAATTTCGGTGAGACAAAACTATTATGTATTTACGAAATACGACGTTATTATAATTAATTTGGTTCCTACACCAAAATGTTCAACACATTTTACTTTACATACTAACATTTACTTGACACATCCAGTCTTCTAAAAATTATTAATCTTCCTAGGAACAGTGTAGAATGGAGATCTTACTTTGTTTAAGACATCATAATCTTTATTTTATAAAATTTACAGTTTGATTAAAAATAGTTTCCTAGTTTAGTAGTCTAGTTTTCTTATTTAAACTGCTAAAACTAGTGATTTTGATTCATTATAGTCATCGAAAACAAAAAATATAGGCTAAAAACATGAATTACCGTCAAATTGATTTTCTCTAAACAACTACCCCAGCTAATTAAAAACGAGTCGAAGCAAATTAAAGTACAGTCAAAGAAAACATTAAACAATCAAAGGAGATAATGTTTTTGTCTTAAAGCGATTTTCACAAACAAAATCATTCTTGAATGGAGTAAAATGCTTCACAGACATTAGTTATCTAGCATCTTGCATACAGTATCGTATTTTGTTTTGAAACTAAACACTTTTTGCTGTGAATACTTACAACTCTTAGGGGTTGTTTAGCATGTTTTGGTTCAACTTCTAATGATTTGTTGTAAAGATAATTGCTGATTTCATTATCTTTCCAATCCTCAAATGGAGCAAGAGACTCCAAAAAGTTCTGAAACACAAAGCAATCGTCATTTATTCATTCAGACTTATTTATTTATTCCACTGTATTTTAAGTTCACATTACAAAAAGTAGATCCTAATATTAACTAAGCTAAGAGAATCTTTTTCAAAGCTATAAAGATAGTTTAGTTTTGTATCTGATTAACTAATACAAACTAAATTGCTGCTCAATATATACTATTGTTAATTAATCAAATAAGAATGGTTGACAGTCTTATGTTTCCATGCCAGTAGGTTGTAGTAAGCCTATCGTCATTGACTATAAATCCTTAAAAGACAACGCATACATACGGGCCCATTGTAATGGCCGGAGCTGAGCCAGGTCCGTGGGTTCAGTTAGTTGGTCTGCACCTCCGAAAGACAGCGCGTGCGTCAATTGTTTTATTCCTTCTCTGCCAGATAGTGCTGGCAGCACACTCCCGCCCGGCGCCCGGCGGCCCGGCCCGCACTCGGCGCACTCGCAGTACAGACACTAGACAGAGTACGCCGTGCTGCCGGTTCGCTAATCGCTACAGCGCACACGCGCACGTACCTACACGTACACCACACAGTCCCTTCACTCTCTGTCCTCTCACCGTACTTCCAGTTCCACTGATACTGCATCGTACCCCAACGATGCGATTATATTATGACCGCAACCGAGCATTGTTACCTACCCAATTCCTATGGTTTGATTAAATTTGTCATACCTACACACACATTTTTTCACACTTACACACACATATACCAACACCATACCCCTACTACCCATTTACCCAGAACTACTTTAATTTTCAATCTGCATCCAGGGATATAAAAAAATTGAAATATAGTAAAAATTATTTTTTACAGAATGGATTTTAGCTTAGCGGTAAATTCCCAAATATATTATACCATTGAAATTTATATTATTAAAAGAATTTGTTGGATGTTTGTATTCAGCACATTGACCCCTAAATATTTATTTTCCTAGGCATTTTGGGTATCAATTTTAACCCTTCAACGTGGTTTGCCGTAGTGACTACGCAAGCCAAAAACTCCCCCAGACGTGGTTTGCCGTAGTCACTACGTATGATGACACTCTGTTGCGTGCTGGACTCTAACGGCAATTTTACGAACTATTTGGGATTGGAACAGTATGCAGCATGTTGTCTGTTGTTGGCTGATGTATTCCAGCTGTTTATCGATCGATATTGTGTGCGAGAGAGACAGAAATATTGTTTACAAACTGGAGTGTTTGTTGACCTTGGTTAGTTTGATTCGTCGTGCATACGGACCGTGTTTAGCCTTGTTTTGTACGTTATATTTAGTAGTTTTATTGCATTATTTGCCGTTGTACATCGTAATATTATTAATAGAACGTTTTAGAATATATTTTTTGTAGGGAACTGTAGTATTTTAGTTTCTAGAAGTCATGTTTCGGTAAATCAGTGTACGTTTTGGTTTTGGACAAGTGTGGTTAGGTTAGTAATCGAGGTGAACTGTTGCAACATTTCTACATAAGGGTATTTATTCTGCAAGTTAGTGGATTATAATGGCTGGGTCAAGTGAAATAGACAGGTGGTTGGATGATAATGAACTATTATTGTCAGAGACAAGTGATGAGGAAGAAATGGACTACGCACAACAAGAGATAGGCCTAGAGGGACAAGACCAGGACGACGATGACAGTGAAGATGAGAATCCAGTTGTAGTGCAAAACAGACGGATCGATGATGTTATAGAGAGTGTAGTAGGTGGTGCAGGAGATTGTCCTATGCCTAGGGCAAATGAAGTGCCTGCAATGGTTTGGGACACAATGGAAGGGTATGTACCAAATCCAGAGACATTTTCTAGTTTTACTGGTCCGAAAATCCCTGCAGAAAACCCCATTGATATTTTCAAATATTTTTTTGATGAAACTCTAATGAATACAATTGTGTCCAGCACTAATAAGTATGCCGAACAACAAAGGGCTAAACGCGGAATGCTTTTCCCTAGACGGTCCAGAGACTGGAATTGGAGGCCTGTGACTAATGATGAGATGTACGTATACCTTTCAATAATAATGCTGATGGGTATTGACCAAAAACCGTCTGTCCGGTCATACTACTCTAAAAATCCCCTGCTAGAGACCCCTATTTTTCCTGCTACTATGCCAATGGAGCGCTTTGAAATTATAAGTAAATATTTGCATTTCAGCGCTTCAATGAGGCTCTCTCAGTATGAAGGCCCCAAGAAACTTTTCAAAATCTATTCTGTGATTGAACATTTGAACAACAGATTCATGGACTCATATGGTTTGTCACAGAATGTATCCATTGACGAATCTCTTACACTTTGGAAGGGGCGCTTGTCGTTTCGACAATACTTACCGCTCAAATCCGCTCAGTTTGGTATAAAATCCTTTGAGCTATGCGAATCCTCATCGGGTTTCACTTGGTCCCTACTTGTTTATACAGGGAAAACCTCTCAAGTGACCTGTCCTATTGTACCACCAGACTCTAACAAATCTACAACTATTGTGATCAAACTGATGGAACCGTTGTTAGACAAAGGTCACGTAGTATGGATGGACAATTGGTACAACTCACCAGAGTTATCAGCTTTCCTAAAAAACAGGAAAACGGATACATGTGGGACACTAAAACTGTCTAGGAAAAATGTCCCACAACATATAAAGAATGTAAAACTTGAGAAGGGGGAAATTTCAGCACTACACAGTGGCAACGTCATGGTTCTAAAGTGGAAAGACAAGCGAGTCGTTACACTTCTTTCAACACTACACAATCATGAAATTGAAGCTAGGACCAACAAATCAGGTGTTCAACAAATGAAACCTGTTCTTGTCTATGAGTATAACAAACAGATGGGAGGAGTGGATCTCAGGGACCAAATGCTCAACAGTTTTCTGTTGGAGCGAAAACGTGGACTCAAATGGTATGTTAAACTTTTCAAGCGCCTTCTCAACATCAGTGTTTTGAACTCTTATATAATATGGAAAACTCAAAACCCAGATGGTAAACACATGGATTTCAGGCTTCAGCTAATAAAGGACCTGATCCACATGTATGGTGCAGAGGTACAGAGGCCGGTACATGGAAGGCCAGGCACGGAACCTAGGCCTGCCAGGCTTACCGAAAGACACTTCATCGAGAACATTCCAGCAACCGGAAAGAAGCAATATCCCCAGAAAAGGTGTGTTGTGTGTTGGAAGCATGGTGTGAGAAAAGATAGTGTGTACTGGTGTCCTGACTGCCAAGCTGGACTTTGCCTCATCAACTGCTTCAAGGATTATCACACCAAACTTGTCTTCTGACAGGTAGGCTTGTAAAATAAATACTGTTAATTTGGAAAATACTTTAGTATGTGTTATTTGTAGAGCAATTATATACCAATTGGGTAAAAAAAATCTATTAATATGACATATATAGAACCAAAATAATAAAACTTTTAGTATATGTTGCAAAACAAGTTCGCGACTACCAAAAACCTATCGCGCCCTACTTATGCAAGCTTTCGCTAAATATTTTCATATTCTGGTTCTATATGGCCTATGAACATAATTCTTGCACTAAATTGTCTAGAAATAAGTACTCTACAATAAACACACAGTTATGTATACCACCATAATGCTTTTTTTTCTCATAAAACTTGTTAGAACTTCAGTTTTATTCGTCAGCCACCGAAGTACCATAAAAATCTCATTATATTACAAGTATTAAAAATATTTTTGAAAATTAAAAAAATGTTATATTGTGTGTTTATTGTAGTGCATGTATTTTGTAACAATTTAGTGAAAAAAATATGTTGTTAGGATACATACAACCAAAGAAATGGATCTTTTTTCAAAGTATTGCAAAATTAGGGCTTGCTTTGCAAAATAAGTACCGCACGAGGGGCCGGTCATGCCCTATTAAGTCCCGCGTTGAAGGGTTAAAGCTCCAATTATTTAGATGTGCCTTTTGTGGGTTTAGATGATAACCCGTGAAAGCCCTTCGTCCAATAGGCTTTTAACATTTCAGAGTTTATTAATCATCTATCAATCATCAATCAGTTGTCAATCATCTTAACTTTTTCATGTCAACACTAGCTGTTTGCCCGTTCTACGTACGGGAATCTAGTAGTAAGTTAAAACCCACGAATACTATAAAAGACCCCTTATATTCAGAACAGGAGTTTGGTTTGCATATTTAGTGTGAATTTTTCCAGATATGATGGCAAAACTATAACTGTTTAGGAATACATATCAACCTTCTCAAATACAATATCTGACAGTTTCAAAGCCAAAACGAATGCTTCGCAATTAAATATCACCCGATCGTGTTAGTCCATATTTTATATCAAACGATGAAAGGAATTGCTTTACAGTATAGATCTATGAGGCATAGCCCTAAGGTAGGCCTGTAATTTAAAGTTACTTTTCACACTGGTTAAAAGTAGTTAAAACACTTCCTCAACCTCACTACTGCACACTTTATTCGGGTTTAAATTTTTATTAACAATGGTGCTCTTGTCTTTTCCACGAAAAATAAGGACATTAATGCGTTACCAACAGACATACACACACAAATACAGAATTGAGTTCACACAACATTTTTGAGTCCAGACAGAAAACGCTAAAGATTATTCAGTAAGACATCAGTTAAATTTAATAAGCAATAAGGTGCAGTGTTTATAAATAAATAGTGAAAATAAGGATATGTTGAAATTATTCTTACTGCTACCACCGGTTCTAAGGAACCAACGGTTCAAGGAACTAGTAGCAGTACCAAAAACCAACGTTTACATTTGAGAAAAGAACTGTAGTACTTACGACTAATTCAAACTGTCCTTCTAATCAAACTGTATTATAGGTGTTAATTAATTTGTTGGCAAATATATACATAAATAAATACACAGGCCACAAAACATGTAACATGTAACGTTAACAACGTAAAGCTTTGAAAACTTACTACGGTTTGCTAAAAACACTTTCACTTGATGTGGTTCAGTACAGAAGTTATTAATCTCCTTTGGTTTTAAAAGTTT